TACACCTAGCAGAATTCAAGATATTAAGGGTAGATCAAATATTAAAATGTTAGAACATCGTATAACTATGTTGTTTTATACTTGACATGGATTGTATCTTCAACAAATGTGTCCAAGATTCAGGAGATTGTCATTTACGGTCCATTTGATTGCAAAATTGAAATTTGGGTGGAAAGAAAATGAATTACATGGAACTGAATTATCTAGAATTTATTTTACTAGAAATTGTAATTAAATGTATTTGATTAATATAATTTTTCGCCTAGAAAATGTTGAAAATTTGGTGTCCGTTTGACTTCATTTTTCATGAAAATTGTCTATTAAAGTGATAATTTTTTTACCATTTGGTTTAGAATTTGTTCCCATTGTAAAAAAAAAAAAAAATAATAATAAATAAATAAATAATCATACCGAATACGATTCATTTGGCTTTGTTTTGTAAGGAAATTGTTAATAAAAGTGATAATTTTTTTACCATTGTGTCTAAAATTTATTCCAATTGCCAAAAAAGAGGTAGCCTGGAAAAATTTTTCCCACCAAAGTGGTGTGAATTTTCAACAAAACCATGAAAATTGTGCACGTGTGAGGGAAACCAAGAAAACCATTTCCAAGGAAAATTATTGTTATCAAACATTGCAAAAGTGAAAGTTGGAATTGGTTTTCTCTTTTCCATGGAAAATTTTGCACAATCAAACATAGCCATAGTGTTACGACATGAAATACTCATGTATTTTACAGTGAATTACGATTCTGAAGATTTTAAAAATAGTATTATGTATGGCAATGAATGAAATATTTAAATTTCACATTTATCTTTAACGATATTAGTTCAGCTAACTTATCTCCTTGGTAGGATCATAACGGTAAAAATTAACTATTGAATTCTCGAATTTACCCCCAATTAAAAAATTATTTTATTTCCATTGAAGAAAATACAAAAAAAAAAAAAAAGTTCCATAAATTTTTTATTTTATCTATAAAAATTTAAATGGGCTACTCCCTCTCCCTCTCGCCCCTGGTGGGGAAGTAAAATATGAAAACGTAGTATAGAAGACTAAATTTAAATGCAAATAATGTGTCCACCTTTTAAAGGGTTATGTTAATAAAGAATGTAATAACTACATCAAACAAAATACTTGAGTTCAAATCTTGTAGTATACAATTTATGAAAATTGTGTGCTTGTCAAACCTCCAATAGCAAAATAAATAGATTCATATCCTTATCATCTAAAAGAGCCAATTTGGGAAGGCACTGTTCATGATAGATGTCGAAAATTTGAATCGTCAACCAACGTGATGTCGTTTCCTCCCGCGTTTTATTCTTCCATTCCCACCCTCTAAACCGCACACTGCCCGGCCATTAAGAACTCTGCTCTCTTCCCCAACCGCCGGCATCCACTGCCTTCTAATTACACAACCACCAGATTTCGATTTCTCGTTGCCAACCTTCCACACTTCGAAAGCACCACCCCCACCGTCGGCATCACCGCCACCATCACTAGGAGTGAGTGGGTTCATCGCTAATGGCGGAGAAGCCTCAACCTTTCGTGTTTTATACTGCGGAGTGTGTGGGGTACCCATGGAGTTCTGCGAGTTTGGACCCGATTTTGAGAAGTGCAAACCATGGTTGATCCAGAACTCACCGACTATGTACCAGATCTCCCCAAAGGTTACCCGAAAAGCCAAACCTTAACCCCATCCATTTTGTATACACAAGGCGTTTCTAATTATGTTATTCTATATATATTGTTGATTGATTTTCAAAGTGCAAAAGATCAGTGATTGTGCGAATTTAATATTATTATTATTTGTTGTAAAGTGTGTGTGTTTATTTTAATTCTTGATTTTACGGAGTTTTTATATGTTCTTTTTTGTTTGTTAAGGTTAATGGTATGCTGTGATATGTTCAATTATTATGTTTTCCTAATTCGACGTGCTCCTTCTATATCCCCTTTTTGTGTGTATGAGGATGTGATGTTATATGTTCACTGATTTTATATATAGGGAGTGAGTAGATCGCTGTCCAGTTTAGTTTCTTGGACTTGAAAAAAAATGCTCTTATTTTTTCCAAATAAGAAAAAGGA